CTAAATCTAATTCTTGACCCTAACCATCAACTTTTAAATCATAATCTTTCTTCTTCAAACTGCTTTTTAACCCTTATTTATCCCTAGTAGGTAGGTAGACATTCTCAAGGTCATTTTACTGTCTCTCAAATTGCCATCCATAAATTATAGTCTCACCTCATGAATTTACTCTATGAGCTTGCTTGCCAGTAAAAAAGGTAACAACAACATCAATATGTGAACAACTTTAGTTAGTGGTGTTAAGGTATTAATTCAAAGCTTCTGATTTATTGTGAACTTATTTTTGTATAAGCTTGATATTATAATCGTTAGTGTTGGATACTTTTGTTCACATATGTTATCTATAAGTCTGAATTCTCTGTTATATTGCTACTTAATCGTCTTATATTTCGTTGTTTAGCTTTGGTTAAATATTGTCTTAAATTACCGAACAACAAATGTTGTGTTTTTTTTGGGCGTGATATGATCGCCAATCAGAATACGACTTATACAATCTTAACACTGTGCCAAACCAATGACGTGTTGACAAGATCCAGTAGACTAGAATCCTTACTAGTCCTTCGCGTCTAGCTCTGCATGTTGAGTCAAGAACAGAAATATCTTCTCCTACTATATGCATCATATATTTCGGACATAATGGTTTATATGCAAACAACCCAGACCGCATCACACCATAAAATAGAAAATAACAATTGTACAGGATCAAGCTAAAAGGTGACCGTGATTGTAGGAGACTGGAAGTAATATATTGGGAATATCTTAGGCTACTAGTATTTGACCACAGATCCCTTAGAAATATTGCTGGCGTCTGTTGGGATCACCGGGTAAGTAATAGTGAGGTTCGACGCAGGGTACTAGGTAATGATGGTAAATCAGTTGATGAGGTTGTTAATCTTCATCGACTGAGATGGTTGGGCTACGTGTTACGTATGCCTGAACACCGATTACCACGACGCGCAATGCTAACGGGTGTTAGAGATGGTTGGAAGAGAACTAGGGGCGGCCAAACCAAAACGTGGCATCAGTGCTTGAAGACACTAACCTCTAGTCTGAGCCATGTTGGTAGATGCAGACTACTTGGTTGGGGTCCGCGTGACTTTCGTAACCAATGGTTGGAGACTCTTGGTGACATGGCTCAGAATCGATCACAATGGCGTCGGTGTATACACTGTCTGTCTTCCCTTAAACTAAGAGATTAAAATCACTTCATATCTTTCTTTCTACTAACTTATTCTTTTTTACTGTACTATATCCTTATGTGCAATCTTTCTCCTATATATTACCACCTTTGACCAAACCACTCCTATGAATCCGGTGTTCATCTTGCTGTGCTAATGCGGTATGGCAACCTGGACCGATGCATATATGTGCCTGGTCCTACGTTGTAGCTGACTGACTGACTGAATATCTTAAGAATAGTAAATCGTATAATAATAGTCAATAGATCGAATAAAAGCTTATGATAAGAGGAATATAGATATATATAAACTAGTTATTTAACAGTTACGCAATAAGAATATATATAATGACAGTCTATGAATAATTCCCGAAAGTTACCCATAGTTTAATCTTCTTCGGATATGACAACAACAAACCTAATCCTGTCTGGATATTATGGAATTTAAATATTTTTGATTTCAGAAGTTTGCATGCTTTCTATTCTATTGTCTTCATTTAATTATGCGGTAATAGACTCTTCTAAAGAATTCTTGTCCATTGATCTCGTCTTAATGGTAATGCAAAATAATAAGGTGAAATAGGACAATCCGTACTTCAACTATGTCGCTTACGACAAATAGTCTACCTATTTTAATTGAAAAAGCCTGATTCTCAGGAAAGGGCTATTGACAACTTTAGGACACTGAAGATTTATTATATAATTTTCTTGGCACTCATTTAATAGTTCAACGGCACTACTAAAATATTGTCAAAATGTTGCAAAATATTGTATTTCAGCAATAAATATGTGGGCTGTATAAATCCTAAGGATTACCGGATAGCTAATATCCAAATGGTCGTAATTTTGAGCTGATATAAAGACGATTATCAAAGAAAACTGAATTTATAGGCAGAGATGAATAAGATCTAGAAGTGGAATCAAGGATTCGCGTTTCATCCGATTTTGGACTCGTCAGCTGGAAACGCGTGACCTGGATTCCACTGCTAATTACCATTCATTTGTAGTTATAATGCTAATGGCTTAAAGTAATATTGAGGCAAACACCACAGGATGTACATGCACTAAAAGAGATAGATCAGTTGCAGTTCGGAAGTTTCGAACAACTAATGAAACCGAATTTACTTCCAAATTCACCATCTATCAAATATAACAAACACTAAGAATTCAATTGCACAAATTCTATTTAATCTAATAGGTATAACTGATTTCTATCGATAACTGCTTCAGTGTGTAGGAAGTTAAATCAATTATTCATTTTGATGATCATAAAAACATCGATATTCTTAACATAAAGTACATCATATTAATGGTAAACATAAGATAGCTTTTTGTGTCCCCTGATTTGAATCTGATTTGGATAGACGTATGAATATACTATGTGCAGAAATCTTCCATTTAACTTCGTCAATTACCTAGGCGGTAGTAAGAAACCATACACGAGTCACATTGGAGGAATTTATTTTATGCATTAGGTTATCTAAACAGACATTCAAAATAAACGGCGGGAAATCGAAGCGAAGATGGCGAGTGAGTCGTCTTACCTTGACAAAGCGTGACTCAATATTTATAGTCAAACAAAAATAAACTGCAGACATGCGATGATTAGGATAAGCAATAAACAAACATCAGTCGTTCGTCTACAACGTAGGACCAGGCACAGATATGCATCGGTCAAAGTTACCATACTTCATTAGTACAATAAGATGAACACCGAATTCATAGTAGTTACTTTAAAGGTAGTAAAAGAAAGATTACATATAGGAATGTAATAATACAGGAAGAAAGAGCTAACTCGTAAAAAGGAAGGTATGAAGTAATTTTAATCTCACAGTTTAAGGGTAGACAAAGAATATGTACAAAGACGCTATTGTGATCGATTCTGAACCATGTCACACAGAGTCTCCAAACATTGGTTACAATAGTCACGCGAATCTGAACTAAGTAGTCTGCATCTACCAACATGTCTAAGACTAAAAGTTAGTAACTTCAAGCATGAGTTAGCTGAAGCGAAACCATCATGGAAAACGTGGAAGTACTGAACGATCGTTTCGTCCTAGTGTGGGGCTGCTCATCAGTGCACATCCACGATACCACTCCATTGGAATTCGATTAATAACTTCCTAGTAAAAGACATTTTTAGTAAGCAACCCCCCTTTAATAGAACATTTTATTGAATGGATTCATCAAGAAAACTAATGCTGATCTCAATTTGGCCATTTAATTTAATTCAGATCTGAACTCATTATGTGTTAATGACAGTTTACTCATTGGGAAAGTATTATTATATTTTTCATCACTAAGACCTAATATATCAAAAGTCTTCTAAAGAGTAGATTTTCAAAAGGTCCTCAATTGAGTTTAAATGTAGAATTACGAGTAAATACGTTGACTCCAGGTTGAAAGGCAACTGACATACAAATTTATTTACTTTCAATATAAAATATATAACGAAAGTTTCCTCAGAATAAGCAAAATAATAATTAGCGCTTGGATATCTTCACATCTCTTGATAAATCAAATTAGTTAGTAATGAAATCGGTGAGACGATAATTTATGGACGAACGAAATTGGTTTACAACAGCAGGTTTTAGATTTTGGCGAGAAATTCATTCATCCATTTGGCTTAATAGAGTCTTGACATTATAGCTGATATCAGTTCGTGATGAAAAACCCTAAATCTAATTCCTAACCGTAACCATCAACTGTAAATCATAATTCTAGTTCCTCGCACTGGTTTATAACCCTAATTTGATCCTACTTATTAGGTGAACACTCTCAAAGTCACTTTAGCACCGCTCAAAGGTCGTCCATATATTATAGTCTCATCACAAAATCAATCAAATTTTAGCCATTAGGTAACAGTTCCGAATCCGTTACATTTATAACGATTTAAGTCGAACAGTATTATCGCTTTTACCTTCACATCTGTCTGAAGTTTATTGTAATGATGTCTTTTAGAAGAACAATGAAAAAGCTTCACGATCAAACTATCCAACTCATAGAACAAAACTTTATCAAAGTCATCCACTTGAGATACAAATCTTCTCCACCATCGCATTATCTCTAACCTTCACATAGTATAACACAAAAGATGATTACACTATCCTATACTTGGAAAGTAAATTACGTACCCAGAATAACTAAAACAAAATAATTTACAAAGAATGTTTAACATCACATATATAGTATGTAGTTGATTGACTAAATGATATACGTATTTTCTTTTTATCAATTAATGTATTTATTATAGATCACAGTACAAATGAAACAATCACAATTACAATATAAGTAGTATAGAAGGAAATCGGTTAAAAATAAAATGTCAATGATAAGTAGTCGATAAAATAAATAAATAAATAAACAAATAAATAAATAATCGATTTTCAATTTCATTTTGAAAAATTGTTTTACATCAATTTGAGTAAAATTAAATAATAATAGTAATAATAATAATAATATCACTATATATATATATATATATATATATATATATATATATATATATACTAATTTCAGAAATAAGTAGTATAAATGTTTAAACTAAAATCGAAGATTATCATATTTTAAGAGAGTACAAATCAAACTATTTTTTGTTTGTTAATAAGTCATTCATGACCATTATGATCCAATGTATATTGATTAACAAAGAGAGAAAGAGAGAGAGAGAGAAAAATACTAAGGATTATTTAAGAAGAAATAACTGAAGAGAATAACGAACTTTCGTAGATAATATTATGTCATTATTGTTTATAGGAAATGCATTTGTTTTTATTTTATTTTATAATTTATTCAATCAGTATTGACATTATATAATAGATCATCATGATGTAGGTGGTTTTGGTTTAGCAAAACCCAAATTACTTTGATTGAATACAACACTACCTAAATTACCATAACTTTCAATGACAATTTCACCATTGGTAAACTATGAATAGAAAAGAATGAAGTAAAAAATAATTGAAATAAAGTTAATTTGTGCAAATATTTTTGATGAGAAAGGGCTTTTGTGATGATTGTAGTAATTTAATAGATGAATTCGTGAGTCAATTAAACCTAGACTACTATGAGTTCGAAAGATCGGGGATACGCACTGCTGAAGAGTTTCATACTAGGATGAAACGGCCGTCCAGTGCCTCCAAGTTTTCCATGGTGGTCTAGCTTCAATTGACTCATGATTTCAACTATTGAAGTTATTAAAATCTCCACAGAAAACCTTCTGATAATAATCATCTGATCACTTGTGACTAACTTCAAGAGACATTTCCTGGAGTTCTAGTGAGAATCAGTGACCAGTGGAGTTCAACCAGGTCTGTTGTGAGATATCAGCTCACTGAAGACAATGGTTGACGGTGGTGCAATTTCGTGGACTGGTTGAAGTTAGACATTAACACCGTTGGATGGTGGTAGGCTCAGTGATCTAGAGGTGAAACGTTCGAGCGCGAGACTGATAGGTCCTGAGTTTGAATCTCGCGGGGGGATTGTGGATGTGCACTTCTGAGGAGTCCTATGCTAGAACGAAACGCCTGGCTGTCCAATGCTTCCAGGTTTTCCATGGTGGTCTAGTTTCAACTGACTCATAATTTCAACTATTAAAGACTATATGTGTAAATGTAGACCTATTTCATCGCAAGTCGGATACTACACAAATTTACATTGATATTAAGTCATCAATGATCCTTGTAACTGAATGACAATAATAATTTGCTCAAACTAGTATTTTTATGTGATTTATGAATGGAAGGTGTAACTATCCTCACGCATCCCGATTCTTTAAGAAGATTAGTCAGCAACATCGCAGAGAAGTTCCTGAAATTTCGTGATGCCATTCACTGATGAGCCTATTTTATCAATTTAATCAACTTTTTCAGTAAAAATAGCTCTCCTCCTTTGCCTAGCTTACTTTTGATTAGAGTATACACTTCTTTAAGCTCTTGTAAGGATTCTCATTTTTATTTGACCAGTAGATACTTCGTGACGTATTCACCATTCTCGTGTCATTAACAGCTATTAACGAACATGGTTTTAAACCTTGATTGACGTTGGAATCATATCTGTTGCTTGTAAAAATAAATCCTCAAAGGATACGTCTGTTTTCTCAAATGTCTCGAGTCCGGACTTTCTCTTTTGCTAGCTTATATATGCATACAATTCTCCGTATCATAAATAAACATATTAACTAAAAGTACTTTGTAGTTTAAACCACCAATTGACCTCAACTAGATCCTCACTGAAAACTTGTTAGAGCTAGATGGTTGTTTTGTCCTAGTACGAGACTTCAATGCTCTCAGGTTTTCAATGTTGGGCCTGACTACGATTAGTTCGTACTTGAACTATAAAAATTCTACATTTTCCACAAATCCTCTCATACTAATAAAAAAAAGATAAATAAAATCATTTATTTTACCTGAATATTCATACCAGAACAAGCTTCACGTAATGCTGTAAGAAAATTATTCACATCGTATACAGATACTGGATTAGATAAATCTTCATAACCGGCACCTGGTACATTCACTTGTTTTGATGGTAATTGATCACGTTTAGAATAAAGTGGATGATGAGTTAATGTAGCATAAGGTAAACTACGACATAATGGATTCCACTTTTGTGTAATTTTTACATCATTTTCATCACCCCATTTTAACTGAACACCAGGTGAACTACGTATACTAAATACATAAACAAACAACGTTGTGTACAAATTAGTTAAAAATGGGTATATTGAAAATCGATTGATAGAATACATAATGAAATAATGTTAAAAGCTGGCTTACATAGTGTTTTAATATTGGTAAGTCATTTGTTTGTCTATAACCCGACCGTTGTTGTTACCTTGACGTGGTGGTCGGGCTCGCCTATCGTGACGAAGCAACCGAACTATACTGGCTGGAACAACCGTTCCTCAGGGTCCTACCATGTCAGACAGGTCAGTTAAAGAGCGGTAAGACTGAAAGCAACAAATTCAAGGTCCGAAGGCGAAGTCGTACAGCTGACTGCAAAGACAACCAGCATGACAGCGATGCTGTCTTCCCACAAGGAGGGGTGGGGTTAGAAAAGGTCGACCCTAAAAATGCATACCTCGCCTTATCGCACAGATATCCGTCTCCAGCGGTAAGGTTTCAACAAGTACGGAGCTAACACAAAAATTACTCATAAAAAGGTCGTGTGTGACCGACCTCATGCAGTTGTCCCTTGGGCGCTGCGGTCACGCTCTCAGATCACTAAGACCACCTCTAATCCACTTTCCTTTTGAGGCACCTCCAGAAGAACCTTTCTACAGCGTGGGCAACCGGGAAGTGATAACCGCCCTCATATCTCTAACAGCACTCAAGACCACTGTTGTTTCACTATAATACACTATGAAATGTTAGGAAATACTAAATTTGTACCATTCCATAACATAAATGATAATCTCTTGGATGATAAGTCAGATCTTAACACAGTATATAAAACAACGTACTATAAATATATATATACCATAAATTTCTATTTAGAATTAGTTATTCGTGATGGTCTACTTAAATATCTCGGCTACTTGTTTCTGTTATAGCAATTGAGTTTTGTTCACATTTAGTTCGATTAAGTCATCTTGTTAACTTATTAACGAACTGCAGTTATCCGTACAACAACAACAACAACTTATCTATATCATTGTATCTTTATTATTGTTGCGAATGTATGAACATGTTATGCTTGAGCATTGCTTACTGCCTACGCATATATTTAATCTGCTAGCCTTACTTATCAGTTGCTTAATTGATTCGATGTATATATATGTCCATATTACTCATATTCATTGCTCTCTCACTTATTAGCACTTGCTTATTTGTACTCGCTTACTCGTACTCACATTCGCTGACTCACTCGCTTGCTTGCCTGCTTGCTTTTCGGCACAACTCTTTCATGCTAGCTTAACGCACCTGTAATTTTGGATATCTGTGTGTGGTCGCATAATAAACGTAATCAACACTACGTATTCGCCTTCTGATTAATATACCGTTGGGGCGTTATCTAGTGACGGTTATCAAGACGAACTGTATGCGAAGTTTAAGTATTATATTGAATACCGACCACCACACTGTCATCTAGATATTTCAACAAAATATCTGTTTCCTTGTTTGTTTTAACAAATCATTATGTCAATTAATTGCCTTTCGTATTCAATTGCATTTGTGAAAAGTTCACGACCTTTCACCGTACAATTTACAAAAATGTACAATTAGAGACATCGTGGTTGTTGACATTATACATCGAAAAGAATATACATCATTCAGATATCGATTCCTGAACTACTAACATCTAACTGGTGACTACTCAATATATTATCGTCAGGATGGATCAAGAAGTAAGAAACGGAAACTCTCTGGAATACTTTGTGCTGAGAATTCTATATTGTACCAGAAATATGATATTGAATAAAGCTAATAATAATGATAATAATGGATTCATTTCAATGTGTAACACTCGTTATAGTTGTGTACTAAAAATGGTTAACTATCATTTACATTCAGTAATGATAATATCACAACTGTTATCTATAGTTAGCTTATAACTTATGAAAAGTGCCTGAAAATCCTCAACATACTTTCGACTAAGCTTTTCTTTCAAAGAAATCACTGTAAATGAAGTCGTAACTTTCATCCATATCATAATTAACACTTAAAAGAAATATGTTTATTGTTGTGACTTTAAATCTGATTAGTCATTATGTGATTTATTCGCCGATCGAAATACGGCTTAGTCAATCTTAGTAATGTGCTAAACTAATGACGTTCGACCGATCTGATCAGCCTAGCGTCTTTATTGGTCCTTTGATCGCTCAGCCCGTCCAACTGAGTCCAGAACACCAATACCAGCTTCCATTATGCCAACCACTTATTTCAGACATACTTGGTTTATATACCAACCAAACAGCCCGCATCACACCTTATAATAGGAAATAACAATTATACAAGATCAAGCCAAAAAGTGGCTGTGAACGTGGGAGACAGTAATCAATAAACTGAAGATATCTTATGAACAGTAAAGCATATAATAGTAATCTATAGGTCAAAATGAAGCTTATAATAAGAGGAATATAAATATACATATTCTAGTTACTGAACAGTTATACAATAGCAATATATGTATATAATATAAATCCATTAATAAGTCACAGAAGTTACTCGTAATTTAATCTTCGCTAGGATATAATATGTATTTCTTTTACTGTTTGTTCGAATTACTCATACTTTGTTAACTAAAATGTCTCCTATCACAAATCAAGATTCAATGTTGAACATTTACCAAGTTTTCTTATCATCGACTTCTCTGCTTTACATAAAATAGTCTGAACTATTCCTCATCCTCAATCCAAAAAGATGTTCATTCAGTAAAAATTTACAATCACAGTTTCAAGTTAGTGTGGCAATAAACATATTTTAAGCCGAATAAAACTGATTTAACCTTTATCGATTGTTCAATAAAGTAACTTAATAATATGATTGTATTTTCTATTACAAATTGGTATAAACTGAAGAAGCATTAGAAGCGAGACTCTAATTTATGGACGACCTCCGAACGAAACCTGAGCGAGCTTGAGAAATATCAGCCAATCAGCAAACACTCAGTATAGAGTAAAAATATATTATACAAAACCAAGGAAACAAAATGGATACACTTCTTATACGTGGATCAAAAACTTGTCAAGGTTAGAAAGAGGTTCAGTGGTTCTAAAATCGTAATGCATGCAGTAGAGGAAATCATCCATATGGCTACAGAATAGTCGACCTCTGGAGTCATGATAAAGTCTCAAATACTCTTTCAGCCTCGACCACATGGCTTCAATAATGTTTATGTGCACTCCGGTTGTTGAGTGAACAAAATGCTACTTGTGAATAACGACACGATGAACATAACCAAGCCTATTTAGGAGACTGTACGCTCTCCAAACATTTGTATATATTGTAGTACCTGGCTGCAGCCAGTGTTACTGGTGCTTTTATTATCCAGTTCGCATTAATTGTCGTAATTTGCCTCAATTAGGGATTATATTTAGCGTTTTCATCACGAACTGACATCAGCTATAACGCCAGAAATTTATTTAGCCAAATGGATGAAAGGCTTTCACGTTAAAGTCCGAGATCTATTATCTTATACCTGATTGATCCGTCCACCAAATTATAGTCTTGCCGTTTTATTTGTTATAGCCGCTCAATTATCACGTTTTGTACAAAATTCCTTGTGAACCGACCGTACGTTAGCATTAAGCACTAAAGTTGGCGCCGTAACCTTGAAATCTCTAAAACGCCTCTGATTGGCTCGTCCATAAATTAGAGTCTCCCCGCATTAGAAATTAAGAAACACCGGTCAACTGTTTTGTCTACGTTTGGTACTTGTAATCGTCTGTATAGAATGATACTCACTATATAGTGAACTGGCTTAAATTGAAACCATGAACTAATAGATCCTAGTAAATTAGTTCAAAGGTGATAATTTTATTATGATTCATCAATATCCTAAGTTCATATCCTATCACAGTCATGAATGAAGACTATTAATGACTTATTCCTTTAAAGAATCATCCATTCAGTACTCATCAGTTTATTATAGTTTTACAGATTGATGAAAAACATCTTCCCATTGAAATAATTTTCACAATTTACTCAATTCAATCTAGTTTCATCGAAGCAGTACCCAAGGTCCTCCCAATCAATGTTGGCCCACCAACAATTGAAGAAATCAGCACGACCATCAGACAAATCAAGAGTGGCAAAGCAGCAGGACCAGACAACATTCCAGCAGAGGCACTGTAAGCAGACGTAGCGGTTACTGCAAGGATACTCCGCATTCTCTTCAGTAAGATTTGGGATGAGGAACAAGTACCAACAGACTGGGAAGAAGGACTTCTGGTCGAAATACCAAAGAAAGGAGATCTCAGAAAGTGCGATAACTACAGGGACATCATTCTTCTCTCAATACCGGGAAAAGTCTTCAACAGAGTATTGTTAAACAGAATGAAGGACTCCGCAGACGCCCAACTTTGAGACCAACATGCAGGATTCCGTAAGGATAGAGTAACAGGTGTAAGTAAATAAGTCATTTGATTTGAAGGATAAATTAAAAATATTAAAAAATAAAAAATAAAATAGAAAATCACTTACGGCATTAATGATTTTGCTGGAAATACAAGTGGTCCAGTTATAACACTAATCAATTGTCCAAGACCTACACGACGACTATCACGTACACGACATTGAAGAAAATCATATCTTAATATATAGAAATTTCTTTCAGTTAATACAATTAAACGTTCATGTTCATTATTCCAATGATCAATGCTACAAAATTATATTTGAAATACTATATGAAACATTTATAGTAAATCTTTTTTTTAAAAATTGTTTTGGTTAAGTACCATATTCTCATAATAGCCATGGTTACATTAAGGGAATAATTGTTTATCCAGTGATTTATATATTAAATTCAAGGTTACGACAAATTGTTTTTGTATACATAAAGGGGGGGGGGTAAATTTACGAAAAGCCAAGGCTTCAATAAACTTGAGAATTCGACCTTGACAATTTCTATACAACATTCTAAATGCTGTATTAATGTCAATTTTGTGCCCCGTTTCAATTATATGTTTCGCTATCGATGAACTTGGTTTTCTACCTCCCACATTGATCGGCTCATTTGACACACATTGATTTTGAAGCCATCTAGGCACATGTTCAGTGATCCTTGATTGCATTGTTCGATTACTCCTCCCTATGTATGTGTGTCCACACAAACATGTAAATTGGTAAATACAATGGGATGTGACGTAATCATTAGTGCATTGTTTGATTCTATTAGGAATCATGGGCTTAGACTTTTCAATCACAACCAAATGACCAGCACAAGGGGTATTCTCGATGGCTGCTTTCAATCCCTGTCTTAAAACTATGCTGTTGGATTTGTCTCTTTATGGTAGATTGATATAAACTTTTTTCTTTGGAACAAGAGGTCTTGCCAATAACTTACTTTTGCACCTATTAATAAACTTTAGTGGATAACCATTAGCTATTAATGTGTCAGTCAGTAACTTTTCATCTTTTTCCACCGTGTCAGAAGTACGAATTCTTTGAGTCCTCTTAAAAAGACACTTAACCAGGCCTCGCTTGTATTTCAATGGACAAAAACTATGGAAATTTAAGTATCGTCCCGTCCAGGTTGGTTTCCTATACACTGACCTTTTAGAACGTCGTATATAAATTGTCAAGGACGAAACCTTAAGTTTATTGAAGCCTTGGCTATTCGTAAATTTGTATATTAGTTTAGTGGTTCTTTGTATCTGACTCCAGTGAGATCGTATGAAATTCTAATTAGTAATCCTATGAGGATATATGAACAATCAATAAATATGATGATGTAATAGAAAGATAATAATAATAGATTATGCAATGTATGCAAATGAAAAGCCTTGTAATAATTTGTTAAAGTTTTGTTCTCTGAGCTGGATGGTTTGGTCGCGGAGCTCTCATCGTTCTTCTGAATGACATCAACAGCACAAACTTCAGATAGAAGTGAAGTGTTCGAATTTTTTCACATGTGGTTCACAGCTTGTGTTGTACACCTTGATGTTGATTGATTCTTATTAACCTCAAACCTATCACTGTTCACTTATTTGGTCTGGTTTTATCTCCTATTGGTCTGATTTTTGTTCCTATGTTTGTACATAATTTTCTTGATTGATTGATAAATTGGATCGATTTCAATGTGCTTGTTGATTGTTGAGTGCCAAGCTTCTAAAAATTCTCTGGTATTTTTTAAATTGCCTCTATTCAAAATTTCCACATTTTTCTTGTCCAATGTGTGTCCGCAGTTGTCCAAGTGCATTAATATAAATGAGGACATGTTATGGTGTTTGACTGTTAATTGATGTTCATCCAAGCGAAGATGAAGAGGGCGTTCGCTTTGTCCGATGTAGTGTAATACCGATGAGTTAACAACAGACTATCATATAAATGTGGTAAGATAATTAGTGGTTTTTGTCACAATAATAAAAGACAATAGAAAGGTTAAATAAAATAAGATGTTATTAGAAAAACATTATGAATAAACTCATGGGGATAAGAGAAATAATTGAGAAGAGAGGGGGGATATATTCAAATCCGTAGATTAGTTGAAGTTATATATATAGTCAATTCTTGTATATAATTATCAACTTAGGCCACGTTAGTGAATATAACGGAATTAAATAAGTAAAATAGGAGGATGGATTTTTAAATACATTTGAACAGACAATCGGAGGAATGAAGCGACGAAAACAGAACGAAACGAGATAGTGCGCAGTAAAGACGGAGTGTGAGCCAACTCCATTTAACTAAAAGTTAATTAATCATACAAAAATAAGCTACAAACATGAGATGAGTAAGATAAGATGTACTTACACATGCCTATATAAAAACGATCAAGATTGATAAGTGAATAATTGACAAGGCCAAAACATGACTTAAGAAGAACAGATAAATTGACCTGTCCAGAAGCTATAATGGGTAACCATTGACCTACTAAATGTACTATTGATAATATAAGACTCGTTGATACGAAACAAACTGTCAAGTTAAACTTCTATACAAAATGTTAGGGGGGCGGCCAAACGAAAACGTGGCATCTGCTTGAAGTGACTAACTTGTGGTCTGATCCATGTTGGTAGAAACAGACCACTTGGTTGGGGTCCGCGTGACTATCGTAACCAACTCTGGGTGACATGGATCAGAACCAATCACAATGGCGTCTTCCCTTAAACGATGAGATTAAAATTATTTCATATCTTTCTTTCTGTACTATATCCTCGCATAAAATCTTTGCTTTATAAATTACAACATTTAGTTAACCGCTTCTTTGAATCCAGTGTTCATCTTGCTGTGCTAATGAAGTGTGGTATATTGGACTGATGCATGTATGTGCCTGATCTTACGTTGTAACTGACTGACTGACTAGGCTCAGTTAGCTAGATCAAACTAGATTTTAGAAAGAATTTCATTTACTCAGTTTACTCAACTCTCGATAAGGTGATGTTACTAGCCAAAGAAATTCAAGACCCAACGTCATTCATTCATGTTGCTAAGATTTCGTAAATAATGTTTTTATGCAAGAAACAGGAATGTACACATATAGAGGATTGATAGGGCTTCCGTTAAACTTTGTGTAATAGTCACTGTAACGACTTGAACTACTACTTATATTTGTCAACATAAATAGCATACACCACAATAGGCATTAGATATGTATGTAATAAACATATTAACTTTCGATAATCGTTTAGGATGATGTAGTTACTCAAAGTTGCTTATTAATTAATCTGTCAACTCAACTTCTGATAAACACATCAAAAGAGAGGCATTAAAATAAATGACTTACAGAGTAAGAATCCACAATGCAATAAACGCTCCATCCTCTGGAATAAGAACAGATTCACCAATGTAATGAATCAATTGTTGCATATCCTCCTAATTTATCAATAAAAAAATATCAATCAGAAAAAAAATGTAGAAAAGCTGAACAACAATTATCAAAAATGCAAAACAAATTCGTAATACTGTCAAGTGAATAAACTGTTAGACGGTAATCACACCACAATTCGTGGTTTTAGTAGTATGGATAGTGTAGATCATCGAATACCAGCTCACTAATAGTGGAATAGTGACACGAACACATCTACGTTTGAAATGTCTGGGTTTAATAACTATTAGTTTTAATATAAATTCCATTCTCAGACTAAACATGGGTCATATGCATTATGGTTTTTGATGACTGTCTACTTAAAGTTAGTTTATGGTTTCTGTAGCCTCAGAAATGAGGAGTCTTCATAAACCTCACACTTAAGGGAATCTTATGGACAGAAAAATCAGCAAGTCTCTTTACCGTTTTTAGAGAACAGAAACTCCTTTGTCACATATAGAGAATCAGACCTGAGTTACTGAATGATAAAAATAGTTCCTATTTATATAAAGAGGACACAACTTTCCACGAATCTGTTATCATTAAACTCTTCATCTGACATATAATCTAATTTTCATTGACAGTATTTTAGGTGAGTAGCTTGTAAATTTAAAGAAACAAAACGTCCATATGTGCTTGACATATGTCGGAGTGATATAAGGCTAACCTCTGCTAGTCAAATGATCAATCCGTAGGACTTAACTTTTCAGCCAAAGTTCGGTTTGAAGTCTATTTTCGGTAATTACATTTTGGCCACGATAGCTCAAAGGATACCAATTTCGGGTCTACAACTAATGATACACACACTTATATACTACTGTAAGGTTTGAAAGTAGTTAAATAATACAAGCTAAATTAATTCAAAGTTGTTCACCACGCGAAACAGAAGTTCAGATCTAATTTGCAACAGTTTGAATTATCCCGTTGTTGGTATTCTTGACTGAACTGTGATCAGTGTTAGTTGGTATACATGCGGATCGCTTAAGTAGGCACCTGAAACAGAAGGCATGGTGTTCGAGTTCTTGTAAGAATACAGGACTTGGGTATAGGTATGTCCATATGGAGAACCCCAAATAGGACGAAACCCGTGTTTTCAACCCAAATGTTAGCCACAATTCATGCATTCTAAAAGTCCATTTTATCTTTTGTTGACAATTATAAACACTATGGTACTTGGAAAACCCAGTTTAATCACATGAATATTTTCTATAATTTCATATCTCTAATGCTGTCTTCACAAACCTCTTAGTCAAAAAAAGTCATATTTCTCATCAAAGTTTGTTAACAGAAACATTACCATAACCTCAAATTTCAAGTTTATAGTATAAAAAAACCCTCAAGTAGCTTAAATACCTACAAGTATAGTGTGATAAAGAGTATAGGGATACAAATAAGACTCAAAAGATTTGATAAGATAGTACAAATAAATCACATTGCCAAGACATAGTAATAATAAAGTATTTTGGGGTTTGTGATAACTAATTAAATGACTTGAGAAATAAACAAATAAGCTGATAACAATTAAGAAATAATATGCCTGAAATGTAATGATCATCTCTGGTTAAGTAATGTTACAATATAAACCATAGAGGAGTTAAAACTCGGCTAGATCCTTGATGAATAGCCTATCTTCAGTTCTTAAATATTTTCTAAGACATTCCTCATTATTATTGAGACCCAGTATGAACATCAACACTCGGATGCGGCTAAATCCAGTTTACGTGACCTGAATAGGACGAAACCCTCATCTTAGATTGTGCTTTTAACCACAGCCCATCTATTTTTGAAATCTTTATCATGATCACTTAATGTTATCAAATGTTTGATGTAGAAGATCAATTCCTAAATATCTAATTATGAATAGAGGTTTTTGGAGATTGTAATGTAAGGAATAGTGAAAGGAATAAACCATATTTATTATCCTTCAATACTTTTAATTGTCCTCTTTCGTTGAACAAATACATGTTTTCAGTTAATATCGTATCTCTAGTTAACAGGATGGTTAAGCATAATGTACATATATAATGGAACATTAATATCTGCCGATATCAACTTAAAGGTTTTATATAATATTTCCTTGATGAAAGTGTTATGTATTTGATAAGGTAACCAAATTCACTGAACATTCAATAAGTACTGAGATAAACATCATTCATTGGTCACTATAATTTTTCAAATGAATGTTCAGTCAGTCAGTGGGCTACAACGTAGGATCAGGTGCATATATGCATCGGTCCAAGTTGCCATACCTCATAAGTACAACAAGATGAACACCAAATGCCTAGAAGTAGTTACTTCAGTGGTGGTAATATATAAAAGAAAGATTGCGTGTATGGATATAGTACAGAAAGAAAGAATTATTTCGTAGAAAGAAAGATGTAAAGCAATTTTGATCTTATGGTTTAAGGGTAGACAAAGGGTATATACACCGACGCAATTGTTATCGATTCTGAGCCATATCATCCACAGTCTCCAACCACTGGTTACGATAGTCACTCGGATCTCAACCAAGTAGTCTGCATCTACATTAACATTAATATTCAAATGAATATTAATGTTATTTCATATCCAAGGTAATAAATATTGATTCAAAACTTTGTTGTTAACTCCGCCTGGAGCTTCTCTTGGGGTGCTGCCCGTCCGAAGCCCGGATAAAGAAGGATGGTTGGGCATGGGGTTAGCGAAGCCATCCCGTAGAAAACTAACTCGCTTAAAAAACGCTAACCAGAAAAAAGTATCCAAACGATAACCAGTTGTTAGGACAGTGGTTAAGATTATTGATCTATAAGAACGATTAGAAAAAGTCTATTCACTGACCAAGTTATGTCACGAAAGAAAAGATTAAGGAACCTTCAACCTAACCAATGGGGCATAAATAGTAATACGTTTTTTCATACACATATTTCCTTCAATCACCTTAAAGAGAGCAAGGACGAAGATTAGTGCATAATAGTAAATGGATTCATTTTATTTCGTTAGGTTCTCATCAGGTGTTTATAACCTAAAATATATGAAAATCAACGTTATTATCGATATTGACATACTTATTTATACATAAAAGGGTGATCAAAGATGTACCATGATGTGGTGAAGATTCCGATAGAGTTAATGGGGTCATAAAGATTGTTTGTTTTGGATAAATAAAGTTTAGGGAGGAAAGTTCCAGAACATTGAACTAGTGATTAGAACTCATGGAGGTAACAAACATTAGATGATTATGTCATGAACTGAAAATAGATTAATGATAATAAAGAAGGATATGAATTGAAATCATTTAGTTATGAGTTAAAGAAAAATGACAATGATGCAAATAAACTTCAGAAAATGTTAAAATAATGAATGACGTAAGGGGGTTTAATGTTACCAGTGTAAAGAAAGATTTATTACTTTCTCTTTTTGTATACACACATCTGGTTTTAGACGTTTGATTGCTATCGCTTCGGCAAATTTTAAAAGACTGGAGTTTGATTGTTTGTTAATCACCTTGAAGGACTTCAATGTATCGATTTCACGTCGTGTGTCAAGGAGATGTCGTACGATGGCACTGCTGACCTTATTAACTCTGTTGAAGTCTTCGCTACATCATGGTACATCTTCGATCACCCTTTTATGTATAAGTATGTCAATATCTATAATAAAGTTGATTTTCATATATTTTAGGTTGTAAGCAGCTGATGAGAACCTAACGAAATAAAATGAATCCATTTATTATTCAGCACCAATGTTCGTCCTTGCTCTCTTTAAAGTAATAAATTAATTGATAATACTTATAATCATTATACTACTTATTATCAAAATCTATATTTCAATAGTTGAAATCATTAGCCGTATCGTCCTAGTATGGGACTCCTCAGCATTACGCATCTACGGTCCCGCCCCTCACGAGATTCAAGCCCAGGACCTATCGGTCTCGCGCGCGAGCGCTTAACCATTAGACCACTGAGCCGATGTTTCCAAGTTTTCCATGGTGATCTAGCTTCAACTGACTCATGATTTCAACTATTGAAATTTCTAAAATCTCCACAAAACCCCTTCTGATATATAAATGACATTTTTCACAAAAAATAAAAGAATAAAAAGATAAACTAACCTGTGTCATATTCATTGGAGCTTTTCCTATATCTTCTTTATTATTGTTTATTCCGAATTTACTCATTTGTGGTATTTGTGGCATCGAAACTTGTGGTGTTGGAATTTTCTTTAATACTTCAGTGAAATTCATTTTCTTTGAATTTATTAAAGTAAAAATTATTTTCAAAAAGAAAAAAAAGAGATTTTTCCCCCCTCTTTTTGTGAATTTACTTCTATAACACAAAACTTTCTGTATTGATTATGTGTAAAATATATTTTGAGAGAACCAAAAAAATAGGGAAATAAACAAACAAACAAACAAATCGATCACTTTCAACTTGAACCCTTCAATATTCAATAAATAATGGGTGTATACGGAGAAAATCTCGATTCAGCTTTTTTTTCTTCCTTGAAATGATTTTTGTATCTTCTTTTCAAACTCATTTGACCTTTAAAAAAATTATTGATTAATTATTATACTCTATTTATGATTGGTTAGTTATTTTTTATGCTTCATTATTAGAACCAATCATTGATAAGCTTGAATAAGTTTTAGTTTCCTAAATAATTTGTTACCCCCCCCCTTGTATTATTGATTTAAAAAGAAGTACAAATATTGATTAATGAAATAATATCAGAATTAATAAAAAGGGAAATGAATAAAGAGGATCTAAAATATTTTTAGGTTTTACATAGAGCAAGAACAAACATTCTAGTAGAATAGCATGAATTCATTTTTATTTCGTCTAGTTCTCATTAACTGCTTACAATCTGTGATATTTAAACATCATAATTACATAATGGGTTTCAAATTACTTTTATGAGAGGGTTTAGTTGGAAGTTAATATTGAAGACACTTTAGTAGAGTATAGCAACGGTGTAAATAAATTGAATAGACTGCGGCCTGCTTGAGCATCTGGGCTACCTGTTCCTGCCATTTAGATATTTCAACAAGTTATCTATTTGTGTTTGTCTTAATATATCATTATGTTTATTGATCACATAACCTATTCTGCTGCGTTTCTGAAAAGTGTACAACCTTTCGTTGTCAAAGTTACAAAAAACTCAATAAGAGACAATGTGGTTGCTGGCAATATACAGCGAAAAGAATGCACATTATTCAGATGTTCATTTACTGAACTGCTAACATCTAACTGGCGATCACTCAATATTTATCGCCAGCACCGACCAAGAAGAAAGAAATGGAAACTTGTTGAAATACTTTGTGCTGAGAATTCTATATTGTACCAAAAATATAATACTGAATAAAGCTGATAATAATAATAATAATAATAATAATAATAATAATAATAATAATAATATTGTACCTTATGTAAAAGAACATTCTACAAGATTGATTGTGACAACAGTCCAAACGGCTAGAAACAATTGATTACATAATGAGTAAACATGGATAGGAATATAATGAGTAGAGCTCAGTTGATAAAATATGTTTACAAATTTGGCAGATAATTAAAATAAAATTCAATGATATGATAAGTGCAAGAAAGAGTTTAAAGAAAAAGGAAAAAAATATTAAGATACAGCAATGGAATATTAGTCACCATCTCCTTTTGAACACATAAATCAAGCTTTTGGCGTCTGATTAGCGTCTGTTTAAGCAAGTGTCAGAAGTTTGGCTGCTTACTAATCACGTTGAATGATTGTAGGGTATCAACCTGATATCCTTAAAGTCTTAATTTCTCTTGTTTTGAGGCTTTTTAGAACATGTTCAAAAAGTCTGAGACATGCCCTTATTTCTGTTCGGCCGATGTAGCTGCTTTGTAAGGTACACGTAAATTTATAAATACAGTTGGCGGTAACATGAAAAGGATGCTTATCAACCTTTGATTGAGTTATTGAACATGTTGTTTTATACAGAATTAGAAGTTCATCATTATTATGATATTATCAGAAGGGGTTTTATGAAGATTATAGTAATTTGAATAGTTAAGATTATCAGTTAATTGAATTTTTCCAGTTTTCTACAGTGATCTAGCTTCAAAACAACTCATGATCTCAATTATTGATATTATGGTATTTTATAAAGGCTAAAGTAGGGCATATATTAATGAATTTGATAACGTTATATTGTTAACAATGTTGAACGTTTGTATTTCAAAATTGTATTATTTGTAAATTAGAAAGATCAGAATGATTTGGAGTAAAGTGTCAAGTGACAATCAGTATTATAGTAATATAAAAAAATGAAAAATAAATGGGATCACCCTTAGGCTAGATTATTACTGTCGATACAGAGATGAGACACTAAATGCATGTGATGAAAATATTGACAAAAAAGAGATGTTGAAGATTTTTAATAACATCCATCCAACTATTTAATGCACTAGTGAAGAGGAGAAAGACAATAGTATAGCTGTCTTAGATGTCGTACTTTCTAGAAGGATAGATGGTTCCATAAAAAGAAATATATTTAGAAAAAATACATGGACAGGTCAGTATACTTATTTCCATAGCTTTACACCTGTTCAATACAAAATAGATTGGGTCAAATGTCATAGTCGCAGAATCAAGCTATATTGTACTGAGGATAGCGTAGATAGCGAAATAAATATACTAAAAAACACATTACGAAATAACGGATGTCCAGATAATTTTGTCAGAAAATTCCTCGTAGAAGATAGTAAAAAAAATAAGAAATTGTGACTTGGTCAGTAAAAAAACCCATACCTGAAACTAGACTTTAAAAGGGAAATGGTGGGTTACATTTTAACGCATCGACCCAAAATATTTGTTGAAAGGACTTTTCACACCGCCAAGTTACACATAATTTTCTCGATTAAACTAGTACTTACACGACAAATCAAGGATAGGTTACCGATAATGAGTTTCTTCATATGTGTATACAAATCCAACTGCTTCTGTGGAGCTAGTTACATAGGCCGTACTCAGAGGGCTGCGTCCTTGAGTATTCATGAACATGTACCAGAATAGTTGGAAAACAAGTTATTAAATCGATCAAAAGTACTACTCTTTCTCTTTCGGTAGATAGTGAACATCATATCAAAATAGAGGAAGCTTTCCCTGTTTTATATCAAAGTCCAAAGGATATACCTCAAGGAATTAGATGACGGTTACTCAATATGGCCGAATCCATCTCGATCAACTCCAGAAAAACAAAATTATGTATCCAGGCCAACGACTGGAGCACCGGATACCTAAAGTGTGTATTATAAACCCCCTACCCCCTTCCCAATTTTTTGGTTACATCTTAACCTTCACATTCGTCTGTCCCAATTCACATGAATTCTTTTTTATCGTAACTACCTTCATAACACTCCTCTTATTATATATTATGTTCACACACCAATATTATTATTACGATTGCTATTATCATTATTACCTCAATTAGCAAGATTAAATTTTTCTACTGCATATTGTATTCATACGATTTTTTTTCCATTTTTCCTTCTTCTTATATTATTATTATACTGGACTCCGCCTGTAGCTCTTCCAGAGTTACTGCCGTTCCCAAGCCCGGGTAAAGGAGGAGGGTTGGGCATGGGGTTAGCGTCCCAATCCCGTAGAAAACTAAATCGCTAAAAAAACGCTTACCAGAAAAAATAATTAAAACCATTTAAACTCTGCCCTGAAAGTTAGGTCTTCATTTAGAAGAATTATGACGCTTCATGGTTAAAGCCGAATTTCTTCGGAAGCCACAAGCCCGATGCCCCTTCTAACAATCAGAGCAAAACTTTTTATAGGTACATGGAACGTTCGAACAATGTGGGAGACCGGGAAGACCAGTCAAATAGCAACGGAAATGAGGAGATACAACTTGGCAGTACTGAGAATCAGCGAAACCCACTGGACCTAAACTGGACAGAAAAGGCTAGCTACGGGAGAGATGCTGCTATACTCCGGTCACGAAGAAAACAATGCTCCACACACTCAGGGAGTCGCTCTAATGCTGTCCAAAGTAGCACGAAATGCACTTGTAGGATGGGAATCTCACGGATCCAGAATCATCAAAGCATCGTTCAAAACAAAGAAGGAGGGGATCTTAATGAATATTATCCAATGTTATGCACCCACCAATGATAGCAACAATGACATTAAAGGTCAATTCTACGAGCGGCTGCAGTCAATCATAGAGAAGTGACCAAGAAAGGACCTCACCATTCTGATGGGGGATCTAAATGCCAAAGTCGGAATAGACAACACTGGATATGAAGATATCATGGGACGACATGGATTGGGTGAGAGAAACGATAATAGAGAAAGATTTGCAAATGTGTGCATTCAATAAGTTGGTCATAGGAGGCACAATATTTCCACACAAACGAATACACAAAGCTACATAAATCTCACCGGACCATACTACAGAGAACCAGATAGATCATATCTGCATCAACAAAAAATTCCGAAGGACAATGGAAGATGTGAGGACCAGGAGAGGTGTTGACGTAGCTTCAGATCACCACCTAGTTGTAGCCAATTTAAAACTGAAGCTAAAGAAAGACTGAACAACTGGACAAGCAGCACTACAAAGGTTCAATACAGCCTTCCTTCGAGATACTAAAAAAATCAACGAATTCAAGATATTAAAAAAGAAGAATATATTTGTAAAATCTCAGCGAATGAATTATAAGTAAATCCAACGTTTCGCCTGGCAATCTGGTCCAAGCTTTTTCAAGGAAAATATAATCAAACAACAAAATTATCGAATATAAATAGGTACATGGTTCTTCGGTTTACTGAATAAGTCATCCAATCAACGTGAAGGATTTCTTTATAGATAGGTATTTGTATTAATGTGTAAGAGACATGTTTATATGAAAAATAATAAAGGTCAAACCAATAAAATAAAATAAAAGTTCATTTGAAAATAATCAAGGGGAGAGAAAGAATAAGAAATTGTCATGTTATCCTAGGCCATAGAATGACTTAAGGATTATAAGGTAAATTCAAGGTTATGACAAATTGTTTTGTATGTGTTATGGAACCAAAAAAAAAAACGTGTTAAGACAACATAATGTGTTTATACGCAAGTGATGTGAGAAGAAATTTCATTCAACTTAATATTGACTACGGTCTGTGTATATTAAGAAAAACAAATCATTTTTATATATGAAATGAATCAAAATGCCACAGCCTGCATTAAATGAAGATAAGTAAACGAGGAGTGTA